TTTGAAGAAGAAGACCAACATGAAAGAATTCTTCCAAGTCTTGGATAAGAATCTCGCTCCTTCAACCATTCTGCAGAAGTTCATCTCCAATGCAGCCAAGAGTGATGCTCTAGAGCATGTGAAGAATAAGTTTATCAATCATCTCAAGTGGTATTCAGAAGTTTGAAGTTGGATCCAAAGTGCTTACCTTTTCTTATCTGAAGACTCCAACTAAGTTGACAACATTGTTAATTTCACTTGGGGGGAGATTGTTAATACATGAAAACTGAACCTATAGCAATCCGAACCAATCAATATCCAAAGTCAGCTAGTGTCCGAGATGTGAAGGTGCTCCGAAGCTCATGAAGAATCCGAGATAATGGTGATCCAAAGTTAGTGTATGTACATGCATTTAATGCATTTTGTCTTTTTCATGATGTGACAGTTCATAGGACTTAAATGTGTGTGTCTTTTAGATGTTAGTTTGTCAAACACTGATCATTATCCATTTATTTGAATGTATTTCAGTTTGTATTATGTTCCTCCTTCACTATTTAAGGAGTGGATGGTTCATGAGTTCATATCGAAGTATTAATCCTAGAATAGCAATTATTCTCTTCACATCATTTTCAACTTTCCTTCCAGACAAAGTTCTTTCTTAACATTCTTCTTATTCTTAAATTATCTTTGCATCGATTATACTCACGTTTACTTCATTTATTACTTGAATATTTTATTGATTATTTATCTTCAAGTCTTAACTGGTTTACCAGATTCGATTGGAACTACATATTAAGAGCAGACGTTGATCTTAAAGATTAACTCAAGGTTTGAGTTTTCAAACATTGTTCTTGCGCATTGATTCTTTATCTCACACCAAACCACCTTCTACCTCCATTTCGTGTCATGGACTATCCATCGCGTCTTCCTTTGATGATTCGCATTCGTTACGCCCTTACCAACAACAACCTCTACAGCCTTCACCTCTCATTCTTTTATGGTCTCGCCTAAGACAACTGAAGAAAGCCACATGATCAACCTCATCCTTTCTCATTTCTATTTATTGGCCTGAAAAATCATTGAAGAAGATTACCATATATGCTTCTCTCACTTGCAATGAAGGTTTTGAGTTGGGGGACTACGTACAAGATTTTTTATGTATTTATTTGGGATATTTGAGTCACTACACAATTAAAAACTAGTTTTTCCTAGTTATAAAATCGTTATTTAATTAAAACATGATTCTCTAATAGGTTTCTTTATAACATGTTACTTGAATGATTGATACCCAAGTTTTTGCAACATATACTTTCCACTATGCTTTATGCCCCTTCTTCCATAAAACATAAAATATTAAATAAATTATTTTGTAATTATAAAATATTAAATATTAAATATTTTTATTTCATGTTTTATAGGGACCAAATAAATATTAAATAATTTTTTAAAAAAAATACAAATAAAATATTAAAAATATATAACTGTTATTTCAAATTTTATAGGGACGAAAAAAAAATTGAAAGGGACCAAGACTAAAAAAAATACAAAAAAATCCCATTTTAAAGTTTGAATTTTTTTTTTTTTTTAAACCGACACCAAGTAAATAAAAAAACAGAATTACCATTCTTGAAGTTTTTTCATATAGATAACTAGATAAGTTCTTTATCTAACCAATGTTTACTATTTAAGGGACCTGATTGAAATATGCATAAAGTTTAGGGTACTTTTTGCAGTTCGGTCACTGTATAAACAAACCGCGTGTTCAGTGAATGAAGACGACGAAGCACTTGTTACACACAGAGAAAGCGCTTCTCCGAAACATTGTTGCTTAACGAAGAAATCCGAGGGCTCTCTAGCCCTCTCTTCTCTGGTACGTTCTCCTCTATCTTCTTGTTTTAAATTAATCGATTTATTTGTGTATATTGATGATCGTGTCATGAATCATGCTTCAGTGATTATTTTGTAATTAAAACGTTTCGATGATTATAATCAATTTCTGTTATTGTTTTAAGATTGATTAGCTGCATTTTTAATTGATTAACAGATCTACGAATTCCGATCATCTGATCTTTAAATTTCGACTTATTTCTCTTGATTTGTCTGCAAATTTTCGTTAGATTCTCCGTTGCATTAGAGGTGTATTTATATCTGGCTTTGAATACACATGCATGTGAAATAATTTCGATTTTATATAATTTCTGACTACTTGTTTCGATTTTCATCTTAAATATGTTTGATTCAAGGATGCTAAAAGAAAAACTCGTAAACCACAATCAAGATTAATAATGGTTAGTCACAAATAAATAATTTGAAAATGAATATTTTCCCAAAAAAGAATGTTTAACTTTTTATGCAAACCAAAATAAGAAACTTTTATATTTTGCTTCTGAAATCAGAAAGAGGTTGTTATAAAGATGACGTTTTGTGTTTTACTTCTTTAAGTGATGCAAAAATGATTATATTCTATCCTTCAAAAACGGGAATTTCTAAAATATCTTCAAACTAAAGTCATAATATCCATTTTTCCTTTCAAATTCATCGACATTTAGTGAGGTGTGTTGTTCATCCTTATATTGATTTTTTCAGTTAACCAGATTATAGTTATGTCTTCAAGTCCAATTGAATAGAGAACCAAAATTTGATGCTTCTGTGTAGCAAGTTGTACTTTCTGCATGTTTGGTTTTATAATCTAATAAGTAATAAGACAAAGCTTTGAGTGTGTAAACAATATAAGTTTATGAAAATAGTACAACTCTAAAGATGATTTTTGAATTTCATCACCTTCACCTAATAAAGGTTTGAACGTTATGATTTCTACACGTAAATAAAATAGTTCATGGGACATGTGTCTTTCTTCAGGTTTGATGCTTTTGGCGTTTAATTTGCTTCATATGCAATTATGCATCTCTTCTTGTTGCACGTGGCTAACATGAACCCCATTCAACATAAATAGCTATTCGTATACACTATATCGTCGACAAATTAGTTAGCTTGTAGTTGACATCTAGAAGAGGTAGTTTTTATTTGTATATAATTAAATGTTTGGTAAAAATACTTGGAAGCTTTAATAACATGTAAATTTACATAATTTATTACTTATAAAAAACACTTCATTGTTTCTAAAAACTAATTAAATCAATTTGTAAAATTATAAAAGAATTTTTTGTTAAACTTTATTTGAAGTAACTTTTAGATTGATAGTTTTTTATTAAGTCAATTTGCAAATTAAATTTTTTTTTTTTATAAAAGCTAAAATCTAAAGCCAAACATTCCATATGTGGTTGATGAAGTTCAAATCTTTAACCTATTATTTTAAGTATATACCACCCCCACGAACTAAATGAGCTAAGTCCAACATGTTTGTTTTCACACACTTAAGTATATACTAGTGGGTCCATCCACTTTAACTCTTAAATAATTTTACTTTATTTAAAGATAAATTAAATTTCTATTTTTTATCTTACCAATCCTTCTATCCATTTAAATTATGATATTTGTTATATTATTATCCTAAAATATCATTAAATGATCATTAAATGTTAGATATATCATCATTTCATTGGTTAGGAGAATATATAGAAACAAAAATTGAAAGGATATCTAATTTCTCTTGTTTAAATAACTAAATATAATATCAATATCAATAACTGAACATACATAGGCCCGGTTTTAAGGGACGGCAAGAGGTGCAGCCGCACAAGGCCCCGAAAAAAATAGGGTCCGAGTTTTAATTAAATTATATATTTAATAATCAAATATATATGAAACTATTCAAATTTTTCCATAAAATGTGTATAGCTCAACTGGCAAAAGCGCCTCTCCTTTTCAACCAATCGATAGTCTGTTCGATTCATATGTACGACATTTTGATTTTTTAAATTCAAATTACAGTTTTGGCCCTTACTTGATTTTTTAAATTCAAATTACAGTTTTGGCCCTTACTTTATGCTATATATTTCATAATCAATCCTTACTTCTTAGCAAATCAGTTTTTAAAAGTTACATAATTAACCCTTGAACTTCTTATAAAATTCCATATGTTCCTTTTTAATTAATTTGTTTACTTTTAAGTTTTCCGTAACGACAATTCACCGTCTTAAGTTTGTTTACGTTATATATTAAAAATTATATTTAGGGCCTCATTTTTCTTTTTAGCACAGGGCCCTTAAAATCTCCGAGCCGGCCCTGAACATACACATGGGGCGTGTTTGGCAAAAGTAGCTGTTAGCTGGAAGCAGGTAGCGGTTAGTTGGTAGTGGGTAGCTGGTAGCGGGAAGCTGTAGCTTTTATTTGTTATATGAATGTTTGGCAAAAGTAGCTGGAAGCTTTTGAAATATATAAAATTACATAAATGGACAATTTATTAAAAATAAAAAAATATATAAATATATTTTTAAGGGTAATTATGGAAATTGATTTCAAAAAAGCTCCGGAGCGTTTTGTTAAAAGCTACATGAAGTAGCTTTTAGAATTGGAGCGTTTTGTTAAAACTAAAAGCTAAACGCTCGTACTGTCAAACGAAACTTTTTGTTTAAACTAGAGCGTTTTGTCAAAAGCTAAAAGATAGAAGCTCCCAAACGCTTCCAAAAGTTCCGTGCCAAACACGCCCATGAACATGTCTAAACATATATATTTTCTTTTATAAATATATACCAATACTATTTACACTGCTCATAAGTAAAAATCTTTTTTGGATCCACCACTTGCGTGTTCAATATCTCATATACGTCTTGTTTGTCTAGTTAATTAATCTCTATTTGGAGTTTTACAAAACATTCTAACCTTTTTTATATGTACATAATTAATGTTGAAAAGAGTAGCTGATTTTATTACACATACCATGTTTTCAACAAACTTGAGGCGAAAAAACGTATAATCTTACACGTAACTCTAACATTCAAGTTGTCCATCATTTTGCCTAACTATACAATATAACCACCTATACTTGAACCAGACTTTTTTTGGGTCGAATTCAGCCATTAATTAAACTAATTTATAATCAATTACTTACAGATTAAATCATGGGAGCAGGAAGGCAGATGTCAGCTGTCACCAAAACCAACAACCCTCTCGACAGAGTCCCCTCCACAAAACCACCGTTCACCATCGGCGACATAAAAAAAGCCATCCCTCCCCACTGTTTCAACCGCTCACTTCTCCGATCCTTCTCCTACGTGGCATACGACCTCACCGCCGCCTTCCTCCTCTACCACCTCACCACCTACTTCCACCTTCTCCCACCGCCCATCTCCGCCATAGCATGGCCGGTATACTGGGCAGCACAAGGCTGTGTCCTCACCGGAGTTTGGGTCATCGCCCACGAATGCGGCCACCACGCGTTTAGCGACCACCAATGGGTCGACGACACAGTCGGCCTCTTCCTCCACTCCGCTCTCCTCGTCCCATACTTCTCATGGAAATACAGCCACCGCCGCCACCACTCCAACACCGCATCCCTAGAACGCGACGAAGTTTTCGTCCCAAAACCCAAATCAAAATTATCATGGTACGCGAAATACCTAAACTACCCTCCGGGACGTGTCATAACTCTTCTCACTACCCTCACCCTAGGCTGGCCATTATACCTAGCTTTCAACGTCTCCGGTAGACCCTACGATCGTTTCGCGTGCCACTTCGCTCCAAACAGCCCAATTTTCAACACCCGTGAACGTCTCCAAATTTGGATATCCGACGGGGGTATTATCGTCATTTCATATCTACTATACCGTATCGCATTACTCAAAGGTCTCACGTGGGTGATTTGTGTATATGGTGTTCCATTGCTTGTTGTGAACGGGTTTCTTGTTATGATCACTTATCTTCAACATACACACCCTTCGTTGCCTCATTATGATGATTCGGAGTGGGATTGGTTGAGGGGGGCTTTGGCAACGGTGGATCGTGACTATGGTGTGCTTAATAAGGTGTTTCATAATATAACGGATACTCATGTGGTGCACCATTTGTTTTCTACAATGCCTCATTATTATGCCATGGAAGCAACGAAAGCTGTGAAGCCTGTTCTTGGGGAGTATTATCGGTTTGATGATACACCGTTTTTTGTGGCGATGTGGAGAGAGGCGAAGGAGTGTTTGTATGTGGAGTCCGAAGGGAAGAAAGGAGGTGTGTTTTGGTACATGAATAAGTACTGATGATCTCGATCGAAGTACGAGTACTTTGAGTTATGGTTTTTTTGTCGTTTTATGTTTGAAGTGATGTAGGTGTTATGTAGTATGTAAGATCTATGTGTATGGTTGTGAAATCTAGTAATGTTCGTTATTAGTGTCAATATATCAAGAACTTTGTGTGTCTAACATGGTAATTATTGGCAAGTCTCATTAGACCTTTGGGACTCAAGAGACATGTTCGATAAGATATCAAGAAGTTAACATGAGACGATACAAAATTTAAACGGATAAGGTTCAAGTGAAGATCTTTCAACTAATTTAATGTTTCAATTTACATGACATATTTGTTAATTATAGGTTTGAGACTATATTAATTAAAACCATAGGGTTTGTTAGTTGTAGGTGTGATGCCTATTAGTGCCATATATTAGGACTATATATATGGCATATGTGACATAATATTGGAAATAGTCTAGAGAGTAAGGGGGATGTTGGAATCTCATATTTAAGTCTATGCGATGTAGATTAGTTGAAAGTTACGGGTTATATGATAAAAAAAAACATTCGATAAAAACAAGTTGATATACTATAGCAAAAATATAGTAGTAAAATAACATAAGAAGATAGGTTTAACATTAGGTTTTTTACAATTAATAAGCTGTATATTTGAAAGAATTTGGTGAAAAAAACCTCAAATAAACTTGTTAAACACTTTTTGTTTTGCCAAAGATGACAACTTACATAAATAAATAAATAAACAAACAAATAAATAAAATGTTAGTTCGACCCATCCATCTTTGTATATGTGTGAGGATTATATCTCTTTTAATGGTTCATTTAAAGGAAAAGGTGACACCCAGACCCAGTATATATTATGAATATCTTTAAATATTTGCGATGGATGTGGTAGGATCAATTGAAGAAAAGTCAAAAGGGAAGAAAGTAAGTGAATAAGTAGCATTGTGCTTCGAATTTTGAAGGGGTTTATGATATTTAGATTGAGCCACAAAAGTTGGCATATAGAATCCACTCCGGTTTTTATAAACTTTCGCTTTCCTTACTATAAAATAATAAACTCATAATCCAAATTTCACCTTTCTAAAAGCCCTTGACAATACAAATTAGAAAAAGCGAATAAAGCTTATGTTCGGCCTAACTTTTGTAGAATTTACGATAAACTACAAATTCTTCTAAAGGATTGTCAAAAGAAATATGGATTGGGCTGTGAATTTTAAACCGTTTTTGCCCAAAATCATGAGACTTAATCCATGTCCAATATAATCATCTGGAGCCTATCTCATTTACACACATTGGACTCGGAGACATATTGACAGTGGCAGATCCAAGAATTTTCTTCGTGGGGCACTAACAGTTAACAATAAAACAGATCGACCCAATATAATTTTTTTGTAAAAACTAAACTTCAATACGAACCAATTAGTGGCAGATCAAGAACGAAAATCCATGAGTTCCTTCGTTTAGATCTTTCGAAAACAAAAATTCCAGACCTAATGAATATGTTTGTTACTCATAAAGGAGGTTATGGTCTCCCCGCACTTCCTTCATTTCTTTCGGTCACTTAAGCACCATGTCATTTTCTTTTCACTCTCCTGAACTTTGAAAATGATCCTCACGCTCGCTTTCTCACACTTCTTATATTTATTTTAAATAAATATGAAGCTTCAATATATTGTATTGTTTATGTACATTAGTTACAATAATTTCTGGGTCTGCCGTTGTACACACCCGTCATCTCATGGTGTGGTTTTAAGGTACATCCCTCGCTGTCACATCATCCCAATGCATGATGTTATGGAAATACACAAATAGGTCTCATATATGCATGCATTTTGAATGGATGTTGTGCGTTGAGTGAAAGAAAAAGCTAAAATAGAGAAAGTAAGTCAATAAAGAAGGTCTTGGACTTTGAATTTTGGAGAGATTAATCATAGAGAGGTTTGAGCCACAAAAGATGGCATTTCGAATTTAGTACACTTTCTATGATACATATTACATAGTTTATAGCTACTTACATACGTTTTATTTCCTTTTTCATAGAATAATAATCTAATTCTGAATTTCTAACTTTTTATAAGCCATTGACAACAATTGAATTAATTTTTTATGTTTGGTCAAACTTTAAAAGAAAATCTAAATTAAAAACAAAATGAAAATGAAAATTTTATATTTTAAACGTTTTCAACTTTTATTCTCGAAGCCTCGAAAGTTTTTATTATAAGCTTATATTAGTTGTGAGACTTATGTATTACATGGATAAATTTAATATATATATATATATATATATATATATATATCAAAATATTTGAGAGCTTTGAATTTTTAAAAAAATATAAAAAATAATTAATTATTATAATTGAAATGTTTTTTTATCTTTTAAATTGAAACAAATAATTTAATTAAATAAACAAAAGAAATTGTAGGGTTCCAAAGCACTCCATGGATGATGGCAATGGATCCCTTTGATGAATTATAGATTAAAAGCCCAAGACTTGTCTTTTCCATATAAATAATCATGTATTATTCATTATTAGGGTTGAGAATGAGGCAAAATGTAGCTGCTACGTGAGGTTTCTTATGTAGTGTTAGATTCTTTAGCCTATGTTGAAAGTGTATTTCATTCATCTTGTTTGAATAAATCGAGTGATCGTTCGACCTAATCTTCATATTTGTGTTTGTTTTTATTTTCCGCATCTTGTTCATCAAATCTCAATTAGGGTTTTAAATCCAACAAGTGATATCAGAGCGGGTCTTTAAAGATCTATTGATTTTTGAAGTATCGGTTCTTGATTTCATGATTTTCTGCACATATATTGAAGATTATTGGTGTTTTAGCGGTATGGAATCAAAATTCTGTTCAAGCAACTGTCATGGAGACTTATATTTTGTTGTTGTTCATTGGTATCGTTTTTTGTTCATATATTTTTTAGATCTGGTCATTCGTTTGATGTTGATAGTTTTATTTCCTTGTTTTAGCCCATTGATTTGTTCTTTGAACTGTTCTTAAGCCCAGTTTCTTCCGATTACTGTTCATGTGTTTTGAGCCCACGTATATTAATTTTTGTTCATTAAACTAAACCCACATGTCGTTCTTTATAGTTGCACGTTCTGATTCACGCATCGGCACATCTCAATGTGATTGTTGCATCTCGATTTCGCAATTCGTTCTCATATTCCGATTGAAATCATGATTCAAGACTTTATTTAATCATTTATGTTCGATTTTTGTTCTTGAGTCAACGTTTCTAAACAGTTTCATTCTCAAAATCGATTTTGATTCTATTTGATTATGGTATTTGAATCCTTTTGCTTAATCTGTTCCACATCTTGATTGGGTGTTTATCCAATGGAATTTTTAAATTCTTATGATGAACTGATGATGAACGAATGAACAGCACCGTATCTCAAGTCGATGGTCAAAATTGAAAAAGTCAATATTAGGATTGCAATCTAAATTAGAATCATAACTATAATCAGGGATGTGATGTTAAGAACAATTGGTATCAGGATTGGATTTTAATCGGGATGATTAAGTCGTCATTCTTGTGAGTCAAGCAAAATGTCAAATTGGAATTATTGATCTGTGAATGATGTAATCGAATTTAAAGTACACGTATCGGAAGCACATCATTCATCTGCCATCGGAATCGGATTTCATGGTCAAAATTTTGAGCTTACCTGCGAACGTTTGTTGTTTGCGACACGCAGTGAACCTGTGTTCTGATTCGTCTCAAGAACCTGTGAATGAAATCGGGACTCAATCGGGAAAAACTGCAGTAAACAAAAGTCAAAATTAAGCTATTTGCGAACGAACGAAGGGTTTGAATTGACTGAGATTTGGGACGAACATCCTACCTGCGAACGACCAACCAGTTTGGGAAGAACCAGAGTTAAATAGAAAAGTCAAAATTGACTGTGAATTGGGTTGAACTTACTTTGAATCTCACTGTGTCTTCCACGAAAAGCGAACTTGTGATTGGGTTCGCACTTGGAACGAATGCCTTGGAAAGAAATAAAGGAAAGCGAACTTGTGGTTCGCCTTGGCTATTGTTTCACTTTTTGTTCGCATCGTGATGCTTGATTTCGCTTTTGTATCAATGGCTTTGGTATGTACCTGGAACGAAATTGAGTTCGGTAGGTAGCTCTTGGAACGAAAGCACTTAGAACAAAAGTAATGGAACGAAAAGGGGATGAACCGAAAGCGAACCTGTGCTCGGACCGAACATGGTTTTGGTTCAATGAACCTGGACCGAACTTGGTTTCGTTTACTTGTACTCGGAGCGAACCTATTGGAGTCGATGTTTATATGTGCTAATTTCAAGGTTTCGCGTCTAGTTTAAGTCATCGTTGAAAGATCAACTGGAGTATGATGCAATGTTCGTTCAATCTCATCTAAATAGGAAAGATGACTAATGATTACACTTTTGGTCCCTGTTGTTTTCACAGTTTGGCTTTTTTGGACCATTTACAGTTTTTGCTTCAAATAAAGGGGTATATTGATGCTGAATTACCATTCCAGCCCCTGTCTTTCAGCAAGTGACAGTTTCGGCCCAATATTCAGAAAAGTTTACTACTTTGAGGGCCGGTGAACAATTTTGGATTTTTCAACGCTCATATTTTTTCGTGAATAGAAAATTATGGATTCCATTAAGTCTTGGCGGTTCGGAAAGTCGTTTTTCGTGATAACGACAAATTCTCACAACTTTTTCGGATGTTATACTTCATTGTATATATCATTTTGTCGCGGGGGAGCACAGTAATTTTTATCCATTCAAGATCATTCTCATGACCATAAGAAGGCTTTATAATCACGTTTTCGATTATTAATCGGGGGAGAATTTGGTATGGCCATTCGAAATTGGATTTGTGACTTTTCAAAGTTGAAGATTTTTTATAAAGCTTGTGGTGGAATTATGAAGGTAGCTTTTACAGTGGAAGTTATTCATCACGCTCTGCTAAAGCTTTTACAGAGAAGTATCCATTACAGCGGAAGTTCTTTATCGAGC